CGTTTCAGCTGAGATTTTATAGTTTTGTTGAGATTCTTTTTTTTTTTTTGGAGAGTTTTTTTTTTTTTTTTTTGCTATAGGGCACGTCTGCTCACTAGAAAGACAGAGCGAGACAGAGAGACAGAAAGCGAGAAATCACCCCCCAGGGGGGATGGCCACACTGCAATCCCTTCTCCTCCATTCTCCTGTCAGGATCTTGGGTATGCACGCACATGCTCTCAGCATGAGTTTAAGCCACCAGGTCCAGAACTCGAACCACGGTTGACTCCATGGGAGTCCAGCGACATAGCCATTACGCTAACTGCTGGCTTGGTCCTCCATTCATCTTGAGAACAGGGGTGGGAAGGAGACACTCCACATGTTGTTTAAGGAGCCCCCTCAGCAGGCTCAGAGTGGGGAGCAGCTTCTTCCAGGTTACATAGCACCCAGAGAGCACTGCTCCCTGCCCTCCACATCCCCTAGGCAACGACTTCTTTTATGTCCATGGCAACAGGGCTTCTCCTAGTGACTTTACCTTTGCCCTCAGTGAGACCACACTCTGCCCCCCTTCCCCAGCATGGCAGGATCTGGTGCCTTCTGAGGATGAGGATAGATGTCTTGGAGCATCTCAATGGCTTGCAGCAGTCGAGGCTAGAGCTATGCTGCTGCCGTGGGAGGGGCCTAGTGTCTAGCCAGGGCCTGGCCGTGCAGCTTGCTTTCCGCATGCCAGTGCCCTGGGCTCTTCCAGGGGCCAAACGCTGCTCAAGTGAGGGTGGGAAGTCAGCGTATGGAGCCAGGTGCGGAGCAAGTATGTCCGGGCCTTTGCATCATCTTACTTCTGTCCTTCCTGGTCCCAGCCCTAGGGCTGGTACTTGGGACAGGAGAAATGCTACAAAGGGGACAAGGAGGAAAGGGCAGCATAGGCCAGACCCTAGTTAGGCTGGTAGGAAGCTGGTGAGCCCTACCACTCAGTCTTGGTCAAACTCTAAGTCGCCAGGCTCTTCTCTGGATCAGGTACAATGGCTTTCTTCTGTCCCTCCATGGCCTCTGCTGCTCCAGGGCAAACCTACCTGAGTGTGGGAGGGAGACAGGCTCTCACCTCAGTTTTGGGAAACTGTCCTTGGAGAAGACCTGAGATAGAGCCAGGTTTCCTTTGAGCTTCAGGTGCATCAGGCCACCAAGTCCAGCCAGGGGCAAGGTGGTCAGCTCGTTATCCGTCAGGTCCCTAGGACAGTGGATGGTCAGAGTTACTGGCAGGCAGTGGGAGTGCTGGGAACAGGACTGGGCTGAGGGTGTGGCCAGCACGCCTGGGGTGAAAACAAGAGGAGAGGCACCAAGGCAGCAGATGAGAATAGACAGAAGTGAGTACTGAAGGCTGGGGCAGAGGCGGGTCACAAGTCACTAGAGGCACCCTCGAACTCATTCACTCATTTCACGAACACTGAGTGCCAACTGTGTACCAGGGGCTGTCCTAACTGCATGTCAAGCTGTCTGGGTTGTAGGTAACAGTGCCCCCCAATCACAGCTCTGAGCCAGAACAGAGCCCCACCCAGGAATTCCTGCCCACCCGCTAGGGGCCCTGCCTGGTTCTTGCCCCCATCCCGCTGCCTGTCCTCCTGCTTCTCTGTTGATACAAGACGCCAGAGTGGGGGTTGCACAGAGCTGGGCATCTGGCCACAAGCAGGGTTGGGTCATCAGTTCTATCGTGCAGCGCCTGCTTGGTAGCCAGGCTGAGGACACGCATCGTCTTCTACCAGACATGCTTTAGCGGAAGCCGCGGCTCCAAACCAAACACCACGACCACAGACTGTGCGTCGTGGAAACAGCCCTGGCCTGGACGGCAGGAAACCTGGCTCCGGCACCAACTCACTGTGTAACCAAAGGGAGTCACACATCAGCCTGAGTTCCAATGCCCTCATCTTTCAAAGGGATAAAAATATCTGCCCTACCTATCTGGCAGGAACAGAGCAAACAGGAGAGGGAAGACGGAGGTGAGAGTTTTGCAAGGCTCCGGCCCAGAGCCCAGAGAGCTGCTGCCTGCAGGGGGACCATGTGCCTCCTGGGAGCCCTGGCTCCAGCCCTAGGCTTAGAGCAAGTTTCCCTGCCTGGGCTGTGGGGGCTTCACCTGTGAAGTGAGGGGGTGGGGCTGGAGGATCTCTGCGGCCAGGGCTAGAGCTAGCCCAAAAGAGCCTTTGTGTCCATCAGAAAAGAGCTGGTGTGGGTGAATGCAGAGCTTGGCAAGCAGGCTGTCAGCTCCCCAGGAGCAGGAGCCCATGTGAAGTGAACAACTTGCCCCACCGAGGCCCCTTCCAGCCCAGACATAATGACCACATAGCCAGCACTGCCTGCTCCCTGTTTACGTCCTGTATCATTCCAGGGGCTTGCGGTCTCTGCCACCCTATGGCAATGCTCCAGCAGGGCAGCCTGAGCTCTCTGAGACCCTGGCTTCCATGTCTGCCATCACCCTTCTGTGCTGCAAAGGAGTTCCAAATCCATGGGTCTTCCTTATAGGTGCATGTAGAGACTGGAGGAGGGCCTGGGGCAGAGGGCTGGGGGCTGGGGTAGGAGGGCTGAGGCTGCCAAAAAGTTGCAGAACATTTGCAGATGCTGTTCCGGGGCTTGCAGGAGGCGGGCTGTCTGTTTATCAGGCCCCACAGTCTGTCAAACGGACTGTCAGAATGATCGATTAGGCTGGAGACCACATCGCTGGGATGTGTGGTCCAACATTGCTCACGGCCCTGCTCTGGGGTGGCCCTCCTACCCCCACTGGCCAGCCTGCTATCCCATGTGGTCCCTGGCATCCTGGAGGAAAAGGCTGCAGACACTTACAACTTGACCAGGGAACGCAGGGTTGAGAATGCTTCAGGGTGGATTGACCGGATGCTGTTCCAGCTTAGGTCCCTGTGGGCAGAGAGGGTGTGACAGAGAGGACAGCAGCATGTGGAAGACTCATTGCTCCCATCTTGCACTTTCTCCCCCATCCCCTCTGCACCTCACCTGCCCCCCCGAAGCCATAGGAAGGGATCCTAGCCTTTGGGAGAAGTGACCTGCTTTTGCCCAGCTCCCAGCCTGGCTGTGGCCCCAGCAGCAGGGACAGGGAAGAGCTTGGTTCCACAGCCTCATGCCACCCTGGGAACCAGCTGGAGAAATGTCCTGAGATGCCACCTGAATGGGAGGCAGCTCTCCTGTGTGTACTTGCGTGTTGGGGGCAGGGACCGTGAGCAGGGAGGCAGAAACCGTGAGGAGGGAGGCAGTGAGGTGTCATGTGGGCGTTACTGGCATACATGCACTATGGGCATGAGCATGCCCGGCAGAGGGATGCAGTCACCCTCCAGACCCACCCCTAGGTGCTGCGGGTACTCACAAGGCTTGCAGGGAGCTCAGCTGGCTGAAGGTGTCAGCTCCGATCTCCCAGATGCGGTTGTGCTGGAGGCCACTAAGGCAGCAAGAGAGGCTGGGTGAACCGGCAGACTCAGACCTGGCTCAGTGCCACGCCCCCCTAAGAACTGGGAGGAGGAGAGAAGAGCCCCCCACTTCTCCTGGCACGGGAAGAAAGGGCCCAGCCCGCGGAAGTCACCAGAATTAAAGGGAGCACAAGGGGATCCGGTTACCCTGGATAAGTGGGTCAGGAGACAAAGCCACGAAACCATCCCTGTGGCCCAAAAGGGAGTCAGCTTCCAGTGTTCCCACCGGGCCTGGCTCTCAGCCCAGCCAACCCTCACCGCCCTGGGTCCTCCAGACCCCAACCCAGCAGCAGAGCACTGTCCAGCCCCCGCCTGGCCCAAGCTGGGAAGCAGAGGTCTGGTGTCTGGATGGGTGATGGGCCCTGAGCCCCAGCCATGTGGGAGACCCTACTTCCTCTAGTCCCTAAACAAACAAGGCAGACTCTCATACCTCTCCCTGGGCCCAGTTCCCATAGGCACTGCCTAGAAGGAGGGGACAGACAGGTGCTCAAGGGGACATGCCACCCTGAGAAATCAGGCGCTGGGAGAATGAAATTTAGGAATTTAAAAAATGATTATTTTTCCTTGTGAAATTTGTGGCCCAGGTTTGTTCTCCCATGTATGATCTTGTGTATCTGTATGTACATGTGTGCACACACATATACACATGTGGGTGTGTTCATAAGGGTGTGGAAAATGAGAGAGCACGAGAGAGTGCTTCCAGCTCCTCTGCGGCCTTCTTTGTCTGGGCCATGGGGTCAGGTGGCCCTGTCCCCTCCTGGCCCTAATCACAGCTGCGTCTCTGTGTCATTATCGACTCATAAGAGCTACCTGGAGGCTCCTTTTGGGCACCATCCCTGAGTCTGTCATCTGGAAGTCCTGGGGGCCTGGCCCAGGACTCTGCCAAGCCCCAGCCTTTATCCCTGGGTTCAGCAAGTTTAGACATAGGTGCAAGGTCAGAGTGCACTTTGGCCCTTGCAGACCCCGCCCCTCTGGTGGGCCCAGACTCCGGTTCATATGCCTTTGCCTTGCCCCTGCTCCCAGACTCACATCTCCTCCAGCTTCTGACACCTGTGCAGATTTGGCAGCTCCTCGATCTGATTATGAGACAGTTCCCTGGGGAGAGAGGAAGTCCAGAGCTGGGATGAAGCAGTGGCTAGGTGAGGGCAAGGAAGGCAGGAGGAACAGCTCTGGGGGTCTGGGACTTGCTGCCAGCAGCCAGAAGCTGCAGGCACCCTGGGGGACATGGTTGCTGCCATAGCTCACACCAGGGCACTTTCCTCGTTAGACTTTTCTGCCTTCCCTCTGCTAAGACCAGCTCTTCTGTGGGCCTGGGTGGGCCAACTGGACTTTTCCCAGGAGGGATGTCCTACCCTGTAGGCCTAAGGGACCCTGGGAGCATCCTGGGGGAAGGTGAAGAGGAAAGGAAAAGGGCGGGGAGATACGGGAGGAGGCAGAGGATGGGCGCAGAGCTCTGAGACAGACAGCAGGCACAACTCG